TAGACCCAGAACTATACCAGATTTTCACAGAGGGCTTCATACCCTTCACAGAGGGTAAATAATGCACTTGATTCACATCCACTTGTTGCACTCTTACCTCAAAATTATTTTAAGCAAGCTGTACGTTCATGAAAAGCCTCAAATCCAGTGTTAGTGTTTTCTAAGAGATAACTTGTTTGTACACTTAGTCCTCATGTAGTATGCTAGCATGGTCACCTACAATGGTTAGCGGGCCTAGTTTGGAGCAGGTCAGGTCTCAGAGCAGTCTCTATGTTTGTTTTCATACRTTTTAAATTGTCAGTGCCCTTTGTTGCTTTGTTTCTCTATTACTAATGAAATTATTTTATAKTATCAATACCTTGGGTAATTCTAATTCATCAGGAAAGCATCTCCACTTGATGTCCACTAATGGTCTCTGAAAGCARGTGCCAGGCTGTACCTTATCAATTGGACACGTGCTCTGTTATAATGGTCTGCTTGGACTATCATGTAACACTGCACTGTGCTGTTACAGAAATGGGTCTGAAGGAAGCCTGAATGAAAATAATGGTGTGAAAACTGGAGGGAGAAAAAGAAAAAGAAAGGAAGAACAGCATGTATGGATAATCAAGGACATGACGAACTGCAATCAACCTCATAAACACCAAGGAATGTGTTGTTCACATCAAGACCAGAAGGCCTGAGCTGATAAGGCCACAATATGATGACTTGTCAGCAGAAGAGCTGCCCCTGATAACAGGAGGATGGCAGCAAGGTTTCAACAYGTGCCATTCCCGTCCCTTTATGCAGGAAGACAGACTGCAGCCATAAAGATACCCACATGAGGAACCGCAGACAACTTATGGCTTATGGTGGATGAAGTAAGCAGATTATGGATAAAGATCACCTTGTAATAACATTGAAAGACATAAAAATCCGTTTGGAAAAGCCTATCATTGCCAGTAAAGAACCCAAGTGACATGATGATGACTGATCTTCTATGTGACACCCAAGCCAAACCCCATGCAGCCTGGCCACACCACTGGACACAGACATCTTGGGGCTCATCAGCACACGGGTGTCTAAGAGACAGTAAAYGTGAGAGACTCAGATCTGTTTTGTACAAAACAAAAAATCCTCTTTTCTTGTGATCTTGCATTGAGCATTGTCACATTAATATCCTACTCGATAAACTACACAACATCCTCCAGATTTATAGTCTTTTTTTAAAAAAAGGATACCTGTTTGACCATACTCATTTCCTATAAAAGTCTGTCTTTGGTTCTTTGTTATGTGCACCCTATTAGACYTTCCAGTGTGCCATTTCACAGCACTTTCATGGACAAAAAGTTTTTTTTTTTTTTCTGAAAAAAAAAAAGAGAGCGATATTCTTCTGATACTTCTATACTCTTGAAATCTATTTTAAAGAAACATCAGCACACCAGAATCTTTCTTACTAAACTTGTTTCCAAATTTTATGCCCGTAGGTACATAGAATATACAACAGAAATAAACTTGATTACAAGACAGTTCTAACATATTTCACTGTGTTCGTGTAAAAAACATACTTCTCTGAAAGTTTCCAAGGATAAAACAAGCATTAGTTTAGAAATCAAAGTATAGAAAATTGTTAGGGAACTTGATCATCTTTTGACTTTCATCTTCTTTCTACTTTCACTTCTTTCTTTATATTCACTAAGTAAAATATAGAYTGATTTTTTAAATTTTTTTATCCCCAGTTTGTCAGTGACCTGGAAAAGTGTCTCCTGTCTTGATGGCATAGCATTATGGCCATCTGGTCAAGTTTTTTTTTTTAAAAAAAACCCTTAGTTGTTACCACCTTATTTTAATTAACAAGCTATAGCAGTTTACTTCATTTTTGAAAGTATAAACTTCACTTTAGAGTTTAGTCTGTTGGTTGCAAAAAATATTGACAAGTTTTGATCTCTGCTTCTGGACATGCACCAAAATCAAGTACGGTAGTTAATTATAGCAATCTCAAATCCCAAATAAATGTATATTGTCAGATATGATGGTTTCCTAAAAGTCAGTGAAAAATTATGCTTCACTACTGGCTGCGTGATGCTTCAAACATGGAGCAGGCTGCCCAGGGAGGCTGTGGAGTCTCCTTCTCTGGAGATCTTCCCAAGCCGCCTGGATGCCGCCCTGTGCCCCGTGMTCTGGGTGTCCCTGCTGGAGCAGGGGGTTGGACTGGATGATCTCGAGAGGTCCCTTCCAACCTCAGCCATTCTGTGAAATGTTGCAAAAAGAGACAACTTTCTCCCACCTCACAGCACACAGGTACCCTCTTCTGAGCTTAGCAGGCTGTTGCTGGTGCGCTGCTACCTCACGTTGGGCAGCTAGCACGTTGCAAGGCTTCATTTCTGCCAGACATCACATGCCTCCCAGAGACCAGCATCTCCCAAACTGATAACAACATCACTCAGTGCAGTGTGTCCCCTATTTCATCCTTTTCAAGCAAGCTGTTATTTTTTAATCATGTTTCTTTTTGTTTTAAACGCCAGTCACAATCATTCTCGGCCTACTAAAGAGTCTCAAGCATGTATTTTATATTTTGCAGTCTACTAGCATGCTGTCATGAAAATGTATTTAACTGTTTCAGATTATCTAAATAGGACAAAGGTCCACCTTTGACGGTGGTGAGAGAACAATGTTTTAAGGAATATGGRAAAAAAAAACCTCACTAGTGTGCTAGTGGATGAACAGAAGCTTTCTTATTTTGTCACAGGCCTTTCAACAGCCTAGGCAGTTTTGCTGCCCATTTGCCACTTTATTAGACYGATTATAAAAGGTTTTGGACCCCTTATGTGCAAGTTAAAGAGGCTACTAAAACTTCATTACATTTAACATTACTCTATATWTGTGTCTCATTAAACAACAGCACTTAAGAAACTCTGAGAAGGGTGGTATGAGCAATAAATTGAACTGTTTTGCTTAACTAAGGTTCTTTTCTTACAGTTATCTGCATGCCCTTGAGAACTTCTTATCTGTTCTGTTTGCAGTTCAAGCAATTGAAAAAGATCACTTGCTCCCTAATGGCTCTATCAAAAGTTTCAATTCTTTCTTGGTAACTAAATGATGTTGAATAATATGAAAGATACAGTCAATTCATGTTCATACTCTCTCTGGGCTCCAAACTTCCATTTTTTAAAGTCCTAAATGCCAGYTCAAATTTATTTATTCAGTACTGTTCCCAAGTGGACTTTTGTTTTTCTTACTCTCTTGAAGAATACATCAATTCTGATTTCTGTTAATTTGAAGTCTATGTCATGAAAAGTTGGCTAAAATTTATACCAACCCTTAAAATATTAAACGTTAACTAAACCAACTTAAAAGAATATTTATTTTCACATATGAGCCTGCAATAAAGATACCAGCTCTAGATCTGTCAATTTTGTTCTGAATTGTCAACATCTTAGTATGTCAAACCAAACCTCCACATTTTCGGCAAMCTCATATCCCAGTGAGACACGTAAAGCAGATCATAAGGCAACAGCTACAAGATCTCCAGCTGCCAGTTATCCAGCGTCAAGGAATCCTGAGAGCGAGCGTGGGAGAGAGGACAGGGAGGGAGAAGCTTTAGAGGGAGTAATTAGAAAACAATCATACACTTGCTGAATTCACACAGAGCTCTACTAAGCAGGCAGYTGTGCAGTCCCTGGCTGCATCACCCAGGGCCTGGGGAAACAAGGAAGGAGGCGACAGGCCAACGTGAAGTAGAAGGGGAGCTTCTCCACACGGACGCTGGTTCTCCACACTTAGCCACAACCACATGGGGTTTAGCACCAGCCAACCCTCCAAACTCCAACAGGGCAGCAGCAGAATCAGGGCACGTGCACAGAAAGATGCTGTCCTAAAGCCTTGTGGTGGAAAATTATTTATCTAAATGCTTTCGGCCTCCTCCTCTTTTCTTTCCAACTCGCTAGGCCTCGGTGCGAGAYTGAATCCTACAACCACAGCGAGACTCTGGGTGGGTTTTATCACCGGTCACAGGATGTATTGACTAAACAAGGTGTAGCATTTCCTTTATCAACTTCAATTAAACTTTGTTCTTACAGAAAAAAATATYGAATTTTGCATAGAGAGAGGAGTAAAACATAAAGCCCCTCCCTAGGCAGAAAATGCTCTGTTAGTCAGCACAAAATAAACACCTATTACTTTCAAGTTGAAAGGGAAATTATGCTTAATAACTATAGTTATAATTTAAAACAAATTCATCTGCTGTTAAGACCAGAAAGATATTTAGAGTCTAAATGGCTCTACATAACTCACTGTACATTCAACACAGTAACATTTARAACAAAAAGCCACAACTGAAATGTTTAAAAGGGGCTACAATGGTCACCTTCACAGATATCATAAAGACATATATGAAAGTCAATCATTATCAATGCTCGTCTTTCATGTTTTCTGTCCAAGAAACCTGTGAGCCTTTGGTTACAAAAAGCCAATGTTCTGATCAAGCTTTAATATTTCCGTGTTTTTCCCCCCAATTTCAGTTGCAAATCCAAAATAAAAACCAGAACACAGAGCGGGAAAAGTCATTACTTTTATCCTTTTTTAATACAGATGTAGTACAGAATGTTTAATTACAGCAGGACAGTGTTTCCAGTTAAATAAAATTAAAAACCTTTATTTTCCCCCCAAATATAAAATTACTAAATTAATGTCTTAAAAGAATATGGGAAAAGCTTTAAATTATACCACTATTTACCACAGTAACTATGATCACCAATTACATATTCCATTGCTTTGGCAAAAAACGTTTTTTGCTGTTTTAGCTTTTTAATAACTGCATATAAACCTAACATAGCAAAGACTGTATACATCCTTATATTGCACTTATTTATATACAGGAATAAATGGACTGGAAAATCTGCATGTACTTGGAATGAGCAACTTTTCACAATAACCCGGAAGCAGAAGGCTAAGAGCTGGTATGAATATTAAAAAATGCTTAGAAATGTAATACATTTATGTACAGAATGTATGGACTGTATTAACAAACAATATGTACACAGCAATTAACTACTATTGATATTTTAGTATAGCTTGGTGTTCATTAATACAGACCTTTGGTTGTATTTAGTTGTTTAGTAAGATTTAAGCTCACATACTTCCAAAATGCAACGAGGTATAAAATAAAGCACAACGATTTGCAAATGGTACAAAAGCTACAGTTGTCAGTTCCATTAAACCCATAAAACTAGTGTCTCTGTCTCATCCCAAAATAGTTCTTGTCCTTGGAATCAATCTCTGTGCCATACACAAAAAGAACATCTGAATGTTACATATCTGCAAAACTACATCCCACGACAATTTTTATAATGTGCAATTCATTTTAGTAATACTTCCTAATGAAAAAGAAAATTAACTTCCACTTTTTTAATTTCCCAACACGCACTTCTGCGATGACRTCATGAATGTTTTTAAATGTTACTAGCAGAATTAAAAAAATACATGTGCACCCCCCTTTACTTACTCTAAAAGGCTATTACCACTAACTGCATTAGCTGATCACTGCCTGCCCCGAGATTTAAGAGTGCTCAGGCTTCTGTAGGCATGACGCAGCTTGCACGTGCCCCACATGTAGCTTCAAATTCCTCCTGAGTTTGCAAACGATGAAGCAAATCCACAGACTTAAAAACAAAAACCRAGGCGTACTTTCCTTTACAAAACTATCATGCAACTGATGAAGAGCTGGGCATCCCATGAACTGTTGTGCTTGTTGGTGTTCCGCTTATGGCGTTGAAAATGTGCAGCGAATTCGGCATTACACTGGTCTTTTCTTCAACAGGGGTAATCTTAACGAGAAAAACATAAATTTACCAAGATAACACAAACATTTATAAAAATGACATAAGCTGAGCAGCTGAMCCCCCCTTTATTCTCAGCAGCTATAAATTTACTGATGGTAACATTACAAAGTGTCAGACCTATCAACCTCGTGGGCCCTAGGTGAGATTTTGGCTCTAGGGATGCTTGTTCACTGCTGAGGAGAACTAGATTCCTTCCTTCCAAAAGACTCCAAGTTTTCCACTCATTGTATGTGTGACAGCATTTTCTCTGATGATAGCTAAAAAGACTTGAAAAAGCTGACTGCAGAAATCACTACTCCCAGCTCTACTATGAGCAAAGAAAGAGCAAACTTGCTTTGAACTAGGTACAATTTTTATAATGAAAATAAACATTAACCCTTGACTAAAAGGAATTATATAAAATTAAATAAGGAAACAGCAGAAATAAAGAAAATTGATTACCATCCCATCTGACCATGTTTGCAAGCAGCACAGGAAAAAAAAGAGAAGTCCATTAAGACTATTTTCTATAAAATATTCTTCATAACAAAGCTTCTGTAACCATTTAAACACCACACTAACACAAGATAGCTAAGTTTTTGCAACGAATTTAGAGTAAACATTGTGAGAAGCTTTATTTTCAAATATATCAGTATCACATAAATGTGACATTTTAAAGATTGCAGTGAAGGCTGTCATGATCCTAAATCTTCTGAGCAAGTGATCAGTCTACTTGTTACATAGGGTGCTTTCATTAACTTATTTACACCTAAATTACATTTGCAGAAACAAACATAGTGGTAGGATAAGAGCGTAAGAGCCCTGGCTGTACTTTCCTATGCTACTCACTAAGGGATTCAGTTGTTTGCCCCTTCTTCCTTGTTCCCTTGTGAACTATTTGATTTATTCCTGAAGTTTCAGGCATTACAAGCTTTTCCATAGCCCCATTCCTTGACAATTCAGCTCTCAGCTGCACTGCAGGCCTCAGGCTCAGGAGTGCTCTTGCACATTGAGTTTGATTCCAAAGTCAAGTCATTGTTAGGGACAAGGGAAACACAGAGCTCTTTGTATCAGCTTTTCATCTAGACTGGACTGCATTGGTTCCTGTTCTGAAATAGAGGAAACTGTGATCCAGTATCTCAGAAAACCTCACAGAAGTATTTAGTTTTAATGTGATATATTATCAGAAAACATGGCTATTCCTTGTGACTCAGAAATACCTATCTTGAAGGTTAAGAACTATGAATCATTGGATGGCTTTGGGAGAAGATTACAGAAATAATAGTCAATAAAAGAAAATGAAGCTGAAGTAATAAAGAAAATGTTCAAGAAGGTAGRGATTAAGCATCAACTTTCAGCCTTTCTGCCTTCTTGGGGATGGTAACTTTGCCTCTGAAGTCAGAAGCTATWGCTCCCAGATGCAAATTCTTATATCTTGTTCTCTGAGAGTTTGGAGCTGGTGCCAGCTGCACTTATTTTCTTGGTGAGGAAGACTTAATTCTGAAGGTCGAGAAGCCTCTGAAGGAAATTCACGGATGGAAACACTGACCAAGTTACAGAATTCCATGATGTGATTAAATTTGAACAGAAATAAAACCCCAAACAGCAAAAACCCTTAATGTAAAGCATAGTACATATTTTTCTTTGTGGGATCACACTACCACTTTTCAGAATGCTGATGTTTTTGTAATTTAATCTTAGCAYATACCTGTTCATGCATTATTTCAGACAGCTCCTTTGCCATTTCTCGGTAATTAGCCTTCATTTCTTCTTGGTATTCCAACTGATCTTCCTTTATAAGTCGTTCATTTACACTCAGAGCATGTCCACAAGCTTCGACAAATTGCCTGATTTACATAAAATAATAATAAAAACACCTCAAGTATTGGGGAGAACTGAATTACTCCAAAAGAGTAATTCAAAATACCAGTCTTTTAATGCATTCAGAGCATGATCAAAGTTAAAATAAAAGAATCTTACCATCTCAGTTAAAATAAATAAAAATATATATAAAACTTAAAAGAAAAGAAAACATATATATATATATATACCTAAAAACTTCCTTCAGTAGTTTCACTTTATTGTCAGGATATCTTTTGGTGTTTGTGTCATCTAAGAAAGCTCTTGCGTATGCTAATGGACCAGCATTAACCTAAAAAAGAATGAAGATTACAAAATAGAGCAAGTTCTCTGTTTAACCATACTGTCTCAGCAATAATYGATACTGTAAGTTTCTATTTGATTTGCTTTTCTTAGGATATACTGACTTCAAAACAGCTGAACAACTGTGGGAGTTGAAACATAAGAGCAGGACAGCCCTTTGTATGACCATTTCTTGGCACAGACAGATCACTTCAAAGACGAGGCAGTAAGACAACGTAACTTTAACATTGCCAATTAGTTACAGATATTTATGAAATTAGGAAAGGAAACAAAGGGACAAACAGAGCCAAGACAACTCCTGTTTGGTCTGCTTATCTATTGGAAACAGTCTTCCATACTGAAAATTAAGCATTACTTAGCAGAAATTTAATTGTGCTACTACAGCAGGTGTGTGAAAAAGTAGATTCAGCTATTTTCAACTCAAATTCTGTTTCTAATAATTTTAAGTATGTTCTCACAGAAGAAAGCTCCTATTACTCTTTCGTATTCGGGGTACCAGYCCCTCCCTTCTCACCCTCATGTTTACTCTGCCTTTTATACGAACTGGCAAATTCATTTTACCTTTGCAGTCTTAAGGTCCTTTAAATATTGATGTGTATATGCTGTGATCACTGTATATATCCTACCCTGATGAATGTGATGGCTGCTTTCTACTACATTTGGTTCTTGCCTTCCTTAGGCAAACCAAACTGTTGCTCAGTGAATTTTCTTTCATTCTCCTCGTCCTATCTTTTGGCACTGCCTCTTCAGCTCCCTAGGGATCTTGCCAGAACACAAAAGCAATAATGATCATGTTGAATCCAATCCGAGCAGACCTATTTTTATATMACTGTCAGAAAAAATCAATGTAAACATTGAACAATTTCCTGTTTTTCCTCCTCCAAAAATAACTTCATATATTGACCACATTTCCAATCTTAAATATACAGAAGAGAAACTAATGATAGACCTGCTGCTTGTATAATAATCCAGGGACAGAAACAAGTGAAACCACAAACTCTATGGTCTTACCTGAACACTCACGCTTCCTTGGAGCTTCAGCTGCAATTTGATCATATCTACTTCRGCTGAAGAGCAAAGCTGCCTGAGTTCTGCAACCTTTTTACTCATTTCATCAATGGCTACTTCAATTGGGTTCAAATCAGTGTGGTGCTGGTACATGACAGGAATGCGCTTCTTCACGTATGGGAAACAATGGATAGCTATGGACAGAAGGGAGATGAACACAGGCAGAAAAAGGGCTGTCTAAAGTAATGTGTATTGCCATGCAATTTTATGGGGAAAACCACATTYTGTATAATTTGTCACTTGAAAATRCTACACAGTGGGGACAAAATATTGAAAAGGTATTATAGCATTGCCCGCATTACAAAAATAAGAAAATATTATTATTACTACAACTAGAATTAGTAGAATTTATTTCATGTGAGAATTGCAGAAGAACTATAAAAAGTGCTTATAATGCACATATCTCAAAAAGGAGAATTAAAAAAATAGCAAGGTATTAATATTAGTCAGTTGATATGATAAACTCATTTATTTCAATTGCATTTATTACTATACTAATATAGTGATATATACCCATGCTTTTATTGGAGATCAACTGGCCTTAAAAATAAATAAATAAATAAATAAAAAGGGAAAACTGGACTCCAGTATAGCAATTCTGGAAGATTACAGACCAAAATCATTTAAATGGGCTATTCTTTGAAGAAGCTAACCTGAAAACCTAGTTTTCAGAACTAGAAATGTATTTTAAGGGATAACTATAAATGCAGTGAAAGTACCCAAACAGAACTGAATTATATTACCTATATTAATTCTGCTATTTTTATTTAAGGCGTAACGTGTTATTTCACAAAACCTGGTTTCTAAAAAAATATCACTAAAGACATTATAAACTTCTATTTATCTACCTTAGAATGCCAAAATGTTTTGTATCAGTGAATTGAACACCYTTGAAGCTTGAGCCTACGGGGAGGAAGGTGTGTAGCATCTCCTCTCTAAAGCTACCAAACAAGAACCTACAGCTCAGTGTTCAGGACAAAGCCACAATGCAACGGAACTGCACTCAACTTCTTCCTGCTGTTTTTAAATCAAGAGAACCCATGTGGCCTTTTTCAATTCCAAAGGCTGTAAAGGGTGCTGAAAATAGGTAGAATAAAAACACTATTTTTAATGATTCATATGATTTTAATGATTCATAATGATTCAAAAGTTGGGCACAGGAAAGSGGGAGAAGAGACCCACATATTCCATTATTAAMAAGGAAAAATATTTTTGAAGTGAGGACTAGTTAAAGCCTATTCAACATGTGAATTTAGTCTCTTTTCCCAAAGCTTAATGATTAAGAAATACAYGATGACTTTCAAAACATCATTTTGTTTGCATGTCAGTGAATGCTACTCTCAAGTACGTACTCATTTTAACAATTTTGTCTAACTTTTTCAGTATATCTTACAATTCTTGTCATTTCCAAGTCATATGTGAAATCAAAATGATTTTCTGAAAAAATACACTATATAGAAAAGAAATAGTATTAAGAATTAAGTATACAAACAAACAAGCAATTCTCTTCAAATGRCAAATTCCCTGCAGCTAGTACCTGTCAAAATAGTCCGTCGCTTGCACTGTTCTTCCACTCCTCCTTGCCTTTTACCAGCCTGAGTAAAAGGCATCTCAAACATAAAACGACGGATGTTGTGAGTCCTCTCAAAATCTGTTTTTCTTTCTTGCAACTCTTTTTCTTCAAAGTAGGGAATTACATGAGTAACTTGAATATAGGCATACTTTGAATCTAAATCTCTAGGATTTACCTTAAGAACACAAGAAAAATCAATAGTTATGTTGGGAATAAAGTAAACTTATTTGTAGTCACACAACCTGCACAAGTTGAATTCAGCCTCRTCTCTTATAAATTTATAGAAACAGAATCAACATTAATGCTCTCAATGCATTGCTTTGATTTCAATTTCTAGGTATTACATGATGACAACACAGAGGCATGCATTTTTTTAATGCAACTATTTACATTATTTGCTATATGCAGAGCTGTAAACAAAACATCATATGGAATTTTACCTACACTGGCAACATCACTCAAATACTGGATTTCTAGAAAGAAGTCATAGAAATAGAAATTCAGAAACAAATACTTGCCCTCCATGTTTGCCGATAAAAAAGTTGACTGGAAGCCAAAAATTGTTAGTGAGATATAAAAAGTTAATAACCAAAAATACAAATTTACATTTTAAATACTCGAAAATAGCATYTCCAGAAGGCAATCTCCCTTTCTGGTTGCCCAACTAATTTTTGGGTGCCCACAAAATCTTCCAGGAAAACATCAGGGAATATTGTAGGATTCACTTTTGAGGACTGCAAACTAGCTCATTTTGTTTCCACAGCYGGATAAATATGAAAGATATCTGCATGTCACAGTTAAAAGAGGATAATGCATGAGGGTCTCGGGAGACTTTAGCTAGACCTAACTCCACACTGGCAAAATTGCCATTTGCTCCTAGATTTTACCYGATAACTTCACGAGAACAATTGTTTCTACCATTCAAGCACTTGTAAAGATGAACGGACTCAGGATGTGGTTCAGAGATGACAGAGAATTAAAATGCTATTTTTATATGGCCCTTTATTTAGAAGAGTGATCCATTTATTATTTCAGCAGAGCTTGGGCTCTTGGACTCTGGTCTTCATGTGCACAAAAGGGAAAATTTCCAAAGAATTACTGTGCATGATCTGGCAAGAAGTACAGCTAAATATAAAAAAAAGGAGGTAATGCTAATAAAATCATAATAACAGTAATAAAAATTATTTAGAGAAGTGACACTGAAAATTAATCTKTCTGTCTGTTCTTAATCTCAAACATAATGGAAGGTGATTATTTCTCTTATGTCCTTTAACTAGCAGAGTTTYAGACGTGCATGTTTGTATCAAATGAATAAAGGATAGCTGTCCCAAAATATTTCAGATAGATCTAACAAAGAAAGTTATATATTAGAATTTTCTTGGAGAGAATAAAAACCATACTTTGCCAGAATCCTGGATCATCTTGACATTTTCAGATCCAAATTTGTCAGAGTAGAGTTTTTGTAGTCTTTGAGAAATTTCCGAAAGAGGAGTGAGTTTAGGTTCTTTATAAATATACTCCTTTCCATCTTCATCCTCAAAGAATCCCTGTAAAAAAAACAAAATAATCAAAATCTTGAAAAAATATTGGACACGATTAAGATGAAAATAATGGTTGTGGTTCAAAGCAAATGTAAACAATTAACGTCAGGTTTCAAGCAAAAGTAAATAAACAGAAAATAAAATCTATGTARAAACATTTTCCTAAGGGAATCAAAAGACAGAAAAACGTAATTATCTACTACAGAATGAGTGAAAGATAATGGAAGCATACAAACTTACAATTTTAAAAGGTCTGTTGTAATTTTATGGTGTGCCACGCCTTTGAGATAAAAAAATTGTCACTTTTATTTAAAAGTGAGTTTTCAGAACTGTTTCACTTGCCAAAACAGAAATCTCATTGTCCATCAGGACTATCTGCTTCATAGCCGAGTATCCGGACAATAGCTTACATAAAACTAATATGAAAATTGTCTGTATGTAGTAATGCAARTTCAATTCCAGAAAATGAGGTTTCATTTATTTGAGGTTCTTAATATTATGTTGTACTATACTACTATAAGCTTGTTCAACTCACAAATCATTTGTTTTTAAACTGCAACTCAATCCAACAGCGAGCACGTGGGAAGTGAAACAGGTATTTTGTTTCGAGCAACAAGCCATGTCTGAGTTCATGTTTGAAATCAGAGATGAAGTATTTTTGTCATAAAATGAAACAGACAAAATAGAAAAGCACAACAGATCATGTATAAACACAGGCTAGACTGACAAAAATACCCACATCAAACTAAGCCAAAATGCAGTAGTTTTTACTGCATCGCTTGCTTTGTAAGCGCTTACTGTAATTACCTCAACATCTGTTTCACTGTCTGTAAACTGGTATTGCTATAAAGTTATAAAAGACAACAAAATACATGTAAAGTTATACTACTGCTCAGAGTATTCATGCTCAGCTCAACAATTAACAACTGGGCTATGCATGTAGAAAGTGTATTACTTTGTTACAATGTGATATATTGATAGATATGCAGTGTAGACATGTACTAGAGCATGTGCAGCTGTCTATTTACAGAGCCAGAACATTTTTTTTGAAGCATGCAATACTGATGCACAGGAAAAAAAAAAAAAAAAAAAAAAAAAAAAAGAGTGATTTATTCTCTATATGGAACTGAATGTTATTTTTTGAATTGCAATGGCTACAAATGCAGAGCAATCTAAGAAGCAATCTTGCAAATCACACTGCAGCACTGAAGACGTTAAGTCAAAACATTGCTAAGAACTGACATTGCAGAGAACTTACCGCTGCCTTAAGAGAGTAAATAAAAAAGGAAAAGAAAAAAGCAAAAAATTTACTGAGGAAGATAAAGAAGAAACTGTATTGGGATTGATTAAACATAACAAGCAATTCTGTTTATGTTTTCTAATGAACATATTTCCTGGGCTTTCCACGTCTTGGTTATCAATAAAGGCTCTGACATAGCACATCTTCCAAAACAGAGGAAGCTTTTTCTTACTGCATACCACAAAGAAATGATACTTAGATCCTGCTCACCTGTCCAAAGAAAGCTACCCTGAAATAAGTTCCCAGCAGTCTCTTGCCTGTATGCATGACTTCGGTTACTTTACTGTACGCKCGATGAAGAGTGTCATACAGATGGGCGAGCCTCTACAAGCAAGAGAAAACAATCATCAGATAACATATCAAGGCAAATGACTCCTTAGTACTCTTAAATCCATTATGAATCATGTCCTTAGTGTTAATACCAACTGAAAAGAATACTTTATAAAATGTCAGCAATGGGCTTAGCACTTGTATCAGACTGAAAAACTTAAATATTATTTATAATTCAACAAAATATTTTATATTTTAAAATCAAAATTGGCGTATTTAAATAATTTCCTTTTCAGTTACAATTTTAATAWATTTTTTGCTCTGGGGGTGCAATGTATCATGCACTCATAGCAGAAGACCCTGGGTTTCTTTATGCCCTCCCTCAAATATTCTAAGAAGAGATCTGGTACCTCAAAATCTCGCCGTTTTTCATAAATGGGAATTATAAGTTTATAGATGTCAGCAATCAGTTCATAACGCTCTGCCTTCCAGAGTCCATCAGCACACTGCTCCAACAATTCCATGAGCACATCCTAAATTGGATACAACATTTGAAAAATAAAAACAATTCATTGCTCGGGAAAAGCCCAATAATCATATGGAAATTCTCCCAAGAAAAAAGAGCATGCCTCAAAACAAAATGATTTATACATGGTGATTTCAAAATTACTGTGTCCATTACATGATGCTAAAAGGACACAAACAAAAAAGTGTTCCAAGTGTACACATGTAAACCTTGCATCTACTGTATACAGCATTTTTCTTTAYTCTTGAAGTCTACAAGTGACACCTACACGAGAACCCAAACTTCTCTTATCTTTGAACATGTTTCTTCAAAGTGTTTTCTTTTTCATCACAAAAGTTTTTACCTTAAAAGGTCACTGAATAGAACACTTGACTGTAATAATTCTGAAGGAAACCATCACATAAATTATATAAAGCCATTGCCAACCACATATCCCAGTAGATGATTTTTAGAATTTTAAGCTATTATGGTAAGATTTGTCAGTCATTTTCAGTAACTCACTTTGTTTAAATCACTGGCTTAAGAATTCCTTCTCTATGTTACTCACATACCACCTGCATCTTCTTCACTTAACAGATAAATCTGAAGCTCTATTATTATTCTGATTTGTATTATTCTTTCACCTGATGCAAAGGCATCATGAGAATATCACATTTAGAAATGAGCATTAATTGYGCAAATAGCTATTCTGCACCAATACCAGAGTTCTCTTTTCAACACTTGCATTGTTTGAAAACCTTTCTTTAGTGTAGAAAGCTCTCTTTGCTTCCCTCCATCTAAATTCTGTGCTCTCCTCCAGCAAAAGTATTAAAATCGTTTTGTACAAGTAAACAATAGAGTATATGTTTGCRTATTTAATACTTTAAACTCTTTTCTACTGTACACCAAGAAGTATACTTAAAATCATGAAGCTCAGGTACTGCCTAAGACTATTCCGCAGGCATAGTATTAATATAACATGCATCATCACTTACAGAGCTGTAGCTAAAACTTCTTTTTAAACTTTTACCTATACTAAATCGGACAATATTGTTATAAGAACACTAGATTCCAATGGGTATGTTGTATTTAATTTTGTAAACCCAAGGAGAAATACAAAACTGAGTTTTCACATAGGCAAAGGGATAACAGATATATATATTGGAACTGTATGTAYAGGAATTTTGAACTGCTCTTCAGAGTAATCTAGAATGACTGAGATTGGAAGGCACCTCTCTAGGCAACCTAGGCCAAGTTCTTACTGAAAAACAGCAGGGTTAGCTCCCTAGAGTTGGATCAAGTTGTGCAGGGTTCAGCTTGCTGGGTTATGAGAATCTCTAAAGATGGAGATKCCACCACCTCTCTGGGATCCCCAGCTCAGTGTTTAATCACTCTTATTGGCAAGATTTTTTCCCTGTGTGCAATCAGACCATTACCACTTCTTTCTCAGTGCAACCGTAACCAAAGGCTGGTTCTTCCCCAACTACCTGGAAGGAAGGAAATGCTGGGCACAGGCTTCTTGAATATTATTTGCAGAGTGCCTGTATGATTTAGAATTTTTATCCTGTTTTCCAAGGAGACTTATGTCCAACTATATCAAAAGAAATGCAAGTCTAATCCCCATTGWTTTCGCTGAGAATGAAACATCTCACTATCTCTGTGGATCCAGTCTGCATCGTCTGAAAAAGATACTTGGATTTMGGTCTGTAAATAGTGAYGTAATTTCTAAAAATAGGCCTTGTACTTCAAAGTTGCCCAGACACTACAAATATCGTCCCTTGTGTTAGTAGCAGATAGGGATCTGAAGACTGTGATAAGTAAAAATAAACTTGTGAAAAAGCTCCATTGAGCGAGGAGGCCTGCGGTGCGGCCTGAGGCACCCAGCAGTGAGGCCCGAGTGCAAGTACTGACGTACCTCTAAACCTAGCTCTGTAATAATGCTTGGAAACCAAAATGAAGCCTCCTGCTTATTCATGGGAACAGCAGTTCTATTCACATAACACATTCACTCACAAAGGTGTTAGGTGAGAGGAAGTATACTGAGGAACTCAGGAAGTGAAAAGTCTTTCCTAGCTCTACTCTTGAGAGAGMAGTACGAGGAAACAAAATCAGTCTGTTCTTCAGCTGCTGCCTATCTCGACCACCAAGCTGCTGTACTCTTAACAATCCTGAGCGTGTTGCTTTTCTGAAGATAAGCTGATTCTGAAGTGAAGTCTCACAGTTTGTGTCAGATGGTCTGTGCMCGGGTGCAGGTAGCAGGGAAGAGCTAATGGAGACCAGGCCCTGGGGCCTGCTGACACACCAGGGCTGTGAGCAAGGGTGACGCACAGAAGGCTGTGGCCCAYTCGCCCCTTGGCAAGGCCAATGCGCAGGCTCACCAAAGTCGCTCCCAGTTTATTGACGACCTGCTCCAGCGTGAAGGTTAGTTTACCTACAACATATGGCGCTGCTTCTACCTCACTCATATGTGCTTGGATGTAGCTTGGGCATTTTTCTGAGAGCTGCCCACCTTGTGCTGGCTGTAAATGATCAAATACAGAGCCCTGGAATAGGCTGTCCAGGGAGGCTGTGGAGTCTCCTTCTCTGGAGATCTTCCCAACCTGCCTGGATGCAGCCCTGTGCTCTGGGTGTCCCTGCTGGAGCAGGGGGGTTGGACTGGATGATCTCTAGAGCTCCCTTCCAACCTCAACCATTCTGGGATTCTGTGATTCCAGATCACCGGAATCCCACTGCTGAACAGAGTGSGGAAAAAAAGCACTATTCTCGACTGCCAACTACGCTGTACAAGCCAGAATGCAGTTGGCTTTTATTGCCACAAGAGAGCACCACTGATTTCCATTCAGGCTCGTCTCAAGGAGCTCCCAGGGGCTTTTCTGCAGAGCTGCTGCCCTGCAGCACTCAGTTCCCAGCCTGTACTGCTGCACTGGGTGATTTATTCCCAGACGCAGCACTCTGCATTTATGAGATTTYTGTCATCCATTCCTTCTCTTTGAGGTCTCCAATGTCCAAGGTGTCAGTCATTTCCCTCCCTTGGGTCCCATGGGCACACTTTGCTGCAGACAAAGGCACACTCGATTCCATGAGCAGGAATGCTGCTGGTGTTGAACATATCAGCCTGAGGCTCAACACTTGAACAATACACCCTATCAGCAAACTTAAAGGCTCTTGCATTTTGGTATCTACTTCTGTTTTTATTAAAGAGCTTTAATATATTGAATTACACTGTATATTGATTGATTGTTGCAATGCCAGCATCTTTTCCTTTTGCAGATATCATTGTAGAATAATTGTGTTTCCCTGAAATACATGTTCATTCTTCTAAAAACATTCTCAAATTGTCTGCTTACAGCATAACACAAAATTAGGAAAACAGAAATATTTCCAAAGATCATTCTATCCTTGATAGCGAGTCAAACAAGTAGAAGGGAGTGCCTGCCATGGGATATTATGCCAAAGAGTATTTTCACTCACTAGCTTAACACAACTGCAAGTATATCAGTACTTCAGTACGGATCAGTACTATTTACTATCAGTAAGAYAGTCATAAGATGACCAGATAATATTTCTGCTATATCATTTTTTATTACTTGGAGGTAAATGATCCAACTGCATTTTTTAGTGATATGGCAGAAGAGGGTAATATTTCTTGGAGCTCGAGTGACTTTTGAACCTGTTGCTRTCCATACTCATACTACAGAAAATTTCCTTCAGGTTCCCAGTGGATCAGTTTTTAAAGGTTACTAACTATTGTTGCATTTTTAGTAGGCAGAACTAAGCCTTCCTCACCTTGATATTCCGAGAAGAAACTTCTAACCCTACCATGCCAATCATTTACTGATATTCATTGTGAAATAAAAGATCTGGTTAAATATTTACTCATTTATGACTCAAGGATAAGAGCGTGAACCTACATAAAGYCTAAAAGCAACTTTATAGTGCATGTTTACCTATCAAACATCGGACACTTAAACTCATTCTATACAATTCAGTTATCAGATTCTCAAAACAAAACAGGAACTACTGTAAAACACATTAACATACTTAACCACCAGAAAMGGCCAAGAGCAAAAAGCAGAGTGCCTTACAGAAAGGTCTGAAGCCACCYAGGACAAACCCCTGGCGCTCACCTGCAGCACCTCCCTGCGASGGCAGAGCCTGCCCCGACTCCCTGCCCTCCTCCCCAGCAGCCACCAGCAGCAGCGGCAGCCTCTGGCAGGTGGCACCTGGGGACCCCTTAAAGCCACCTGGGCCTTTCCTTTGGGTGCCAAGAGCCCCAGCTTCCATGAGGAACAACTTTGATAGAGGAACTCTCCTCTAGAGAGAACAAATACTAGGCTTTAAGATTTTCACTAATTTAAGCTTGGACAGCCTCCCTTTGTACTGGAAACTAGTGCTCAATAAACAGCTTACACTAATGGCCATCTTTTTCCTGTCTGTGGAAGAATCTTACTAAGGAGGATATAATATTCTTTCCTGATCAAAAAAAAAATAGTGGAGATGCAAATATCCTGATCGTTTTTTCTTTAATAAATTCTCCTCTTRCTCGAATCTGAGAAACTGAGTGAGAAAAAGTCTAACTGCAGTTCTTCAATGTATAATATCACCAGAATTATAATTTCCTTGACTTCTCAGTTTTATCTCTAAAGTTATACATCTAAGAATGTGTAAGTGATACAATTTGAATGTGTTTTCTGACTGTGGAAAGCTTTCCCCTGGAGTAATATTGTACTACAAATTTCTCTTTTACCATGGCATTCATATGCATGGAATGAAGAGACAAACATTTTGAATTTTATGGATTCACTTTAAAGAAACAAGAATCACCCTTCCTGTTTGGAACTGTGCCACAGCTTTTACTGTGCAGCTAGAACATAAACACAGAAGACAGGATCGTTTTCTGGCATCTGAAAGTCTRAATTACTTTTCCTGTGGGAAGACTCAAGCTTTACAAAACAGGCTCATTTTTGCAGAAAGTGCTGTGGAATAGCACGTTCATTTATAGATTTGCAAATTAGGGTAAACTCTCTCATGGAAGGTGACAGCTAAAAAGCAACCGAAAGAAATAAATAACAAGTTACGTTCTTATTGACTTAATATCTGTGATGTAAATATATTTGGAATTATATTTTGGAAAAAAAATGAACCTGAGTTAACTTATTTCGAAGACGATCTGGCACCTGACACAGGTCAGCTGGCTACAGTTCTGCTACAGACTGCTTGAAGAGTAAAAACCGGGATGGAAAGGATTACTGGTTCCAGGCCTTTGCCATGTAATCTCTGACACCCAGAAGATCTTAGTTCTGTAACAATTAGGCTTATGCTACAGAATGGGCTGTTTAGGTAAAAAAACATCTTAGCAAAATGCACACAACTTCATCAAAACTCAAAACAAACGCTTGTTTTTAGACTGGCTGGTTTAGGAAATGAGTCATTGTAATAACCCTGGCCTGAGAAGCAACTTCTTTAAAATAAGAAGCTACAACAGTCCTGACTTAAGGTAGACTTCACTTAAATTAGAAAGACACTACATGAAGAATGTAAAWAAGGCGGTATCCCATTTAGAAACATGGAGGGAGATCATCCTTCTAAATTACTTGTAAGAACTGTTTCGGGGAAGGAATCTGCGGTGATTGGCATCCAGGAAAATCCCAAGTCTAAGACAGAAATTCCACATGATCCTCATGTTAACATATGCAGGAAGGATTCCCATTATGTTGCTCTGCAGTAGTTACTGTTTTCAAGTACCTTTGTAAGACTAGAGTCATCTTAACTTATCCATCATTTTTAGCTCACTAAAAACAATTTTTTTTCCTATTATTATTCTTCCTGGGATGAAGTATAACAAGTTATTTGAAAAATAGTAATCTTTTTTTTTTTTTTTTCCTTCAATATTTAACCAGTTAGTCTTAAATCTACTGCAGATAAAACAAGTTGCACACAGAGAAAAATGAATTTTGGCAAGTTTTAATTCCTTTGCAAACTCTACTGGCTTGTATTTCATTCTTGGCTACTTCCATTCCATGGAAATATTGAGAGATGGAAATGAATCTGGGCAGGGTTCAGTGACTCAAATTGCAGCAAATCCTTTTTGCAGGGAGTAGATCCACACATAATCATAAATATATAAAGACATGCAAGAAGAAAAAAGATGTAAAAGAATTTAGCTCTGACCAACACTTTCAGCAGTAGAGGCATATACTGATGGGAGGTTTCCATTAAAAATTTCTATCGACATTAGTCAGAAAAGGAACAACTCTTGGTTTATTCAGAGCAGCTTGCATTTTACTTTTAGCAATATGCTACATTCCACACTGAATCAGAGGTACTGGAACTTTCAGGAATACAGCACATCGAAATCAACAGAGCAATTGGTTACTGGGTATTTCTGGAAATGAAAATCATGACACTTTTCATTTCAAGTAATTCTTTCTTCTCCTGCCTTCCCAGAAAAAAAGGCAAGTCAAGAATTTGTCTTAAAACTACAGAGCAAAGCAGTACCAGAGCTTGGGAGCAAAACACCGAAAAGCCTAGCTCTAGATCCAGACTTCCACCACTACATCTTTCAGGTATTCCTACTAAATCACAGCCTTCACAGTCAAACTGCCACACACATTCCCCATATACAAAGTAAACCATATCAGAAAAATATCTCACATACGTTTTTTTATTTCTGTACTAAGCTGAGAATATGGCTAAGCAAACACCGATACTACATGTCGTATTAGTCAGCCTCAAGAGTGAAAATGAACACTTGGAAAATTAAATGGCCTTTTTATAATGTGCATCCGTTCTAACATTGTTATGTTCACTTACTTCATTGAAGTGGACATCTTGCATTCCAACATCCTCCATCATCGAAGCCTCTTCATCTATATTAGGTGTGATTACTCTGAAAGCAGTACAACCTTGCCTAAACATGCCTATAGTTGAAAAAGAAAATATATTTATATTTAGCTAATATTTATCTAGTAAAAAATATGTATATTTATCTAATATTTATCTAGTATCAGCAAAATACTTCTGTTCACTAGAAAAGTGAGACCATGTTGTGATGCTAGATGGGGCAGAAGACATTTAAATACACTTACCACCAAAAGAAAAATCCACATTATCATTGAAGTATAACTAGGTTTTAAAAAGCCCCCCAAATGCTAATATCTGGGCTATCTCTGGATAACTTTGTTTTGACCTAGAAATATCACAGGGACAAGTTTGACTTGACACTTGAGTTGTCACCGACAGGAAATAAACTTCCAACAACTTCCAACAAAAGTAACTTCCACACAACAGTTCAAAACAAAACAAAAACCAAASCAAAACAAACAACACCAGTTATTTGTTATTGGGCATGGAAGAAGACAGAACCTAGACTGCAGCTCAGTTTTCCACCATCACTTTATCTATAGGATCAAAAGTCTTGGAATTCCCAGTGAGGATCATGAGAAAACAGAAGATTACATGGCATTTATTAAAGAAACTAAGAAGCTTCCCAGAATCTTCTCTAGACTCTCTAGGAGAAATTGTCAAAAATCTGTTAAGATTACAATGCTGAGCTAATGTTTTGGTAAGCAGACTTGCTTTGAAACACTTAATGTCCACAGACCACTTTAGTTTTGCTTTTGTACAGCAGTTGGAAACGACGCAGAGGCACAGGTCTACAAGATGGCTTTTCTCTGTTGCTTCTGTGCCTCTTGCAGGGCACGTACTTAGACTGCAAACTATCTTTCCCTCCACTCTGCTCAGCTTCATTGTGAATCAATCTAAAACTGTACCAAGGATCATCCTAACTCTTTCTGAAGCCAGCTGCTGACATAACACACCAAGACAAGTGCAGTATTCTGAGCATCAGTATAACTGACCCAGGAGTTGAAATAAATCTGTATGGATTTATTTCTGCTCCTGCAATTTCCCTACATTCAGAGACACCATTACTGAATAAGAATACTTACTGACAAGGCTGCTTMGAAGGGATCTGGCTTTAGCTCCTATCAACTGTGGCATCAAGTGCTAATTATTTCTTTCCCCCAAATCCTGCTTTACTTTCAYGTGAAATGCTTCCACTGAAGCAGCTGTTAAGGACGTGAATACACACTCCAGTTAAGTCAGAATGTTTCCCTTGGTGAACACTTCTGCCTACATCTCTCTCAGACAAACTAATTGCTGCTGTTGTGTAACTATAAGGCAAGATATAAACATGGAAGTAAGATTTCAGCATCATACCTTTTCGTGTGAGATATTCTGCCACCAGTGCTGCTACATGGACATAGCACATTGCTGCCTAAAACAGAAATTGGAACAAATGTTAGAAATTACAGTTGTAATGGAACAACTAAAGGCAACTTAAGGTGCTGAGATAATTTCTTACACTCCCTTTTTTTTTGCTGTTTTGCAGAAGAAGTTTATCTGTTCAATTCTACTCAATACTGTGGGTGCTTCTGCTAACCTGCTTGGTATCTTTTTGCCCCACACCAAAAAAAAGGATAAGTAGTAGAAAAACTGGAGGCAGACCCATTAGAGAGCAGCAAAAGCAGAGATTTAATCTATATACGGAATTTGAAGGAACTTGTCTTCTGAGAGAACAGATTTGGCACCCAGCAAAACCATAGGATGTTTCTTTTCAAAACACAACCTAATAATAGATGAAGTACTGCATATTCCCTATTCATTGTTACCATATAGATAAAAGAATAGATACATTAATAAAAGAATACTAGGACATTAATAAGTAAGGTGGTATCTGGTGTTCCTTGTAGATATTTTCTCACATGATGTGTAAGTCACTTTCATGGCATTCACTTTTGACAGTCACTTTTATGACATTCAGTGATGTGATGAAGGAATATTTGCTCTCAGAGGGCACAAACTTCCCAAAACACAGAATTTATTCTGTATGCTGATAAAAATACTTACATCTGATCATGACAAAAATCCTCTCTCTCCCTACCCCCTTTCCTTAGAAATATTTTATCAGCATGGTGAAATCAGATAAAATTATATTGAATAATAAGTACTTTTTTAATAGTAAGTCACATGAATTAGCTAATCATGTAAAGCTGGCTGGAGGGAAACATAAAGAGAGGCTTTTAAAGTGTTTTAGCAATTGATAATTAAAAAAATTTAAAAAACCCTAAGTCTGGCTCTTCCACTGTTTATATTGAGGATTCCTGGCATAGTTGCACWTCAGCTATAGTAGTTAAACATATGCCTTACATTAATGATCAGGGATGACTTACAGTGGTCCTCAAGGAGTATAAAAACCTCACCATTGAGGTTAATCTACTAGCAGATCGAAATTCAAATATAAACACTGACTGTATTGTACACTAACAACTTCATATAGTATTTTAAATTTCAAGAAAGCTTATTGGGAAGCTAATAATATAGTAGCTTAAAATTGAACTTAAAATAGTTCAATTTTATTCACTTACCTCTGAAAGATCTCCATTTTTAACATGGATCCTTGCCATGCTGTCTAACCATGTCTTCCTTAGCTCAGGTGTACTAGCATAAGACTTTGCCAGACTATACTGGAGGTCCACAAGCATTTCTGGATCATTCTCATGCTCCTTCATCTGCGCTGTAGCCATCAGTACTGTACGGATACGTTTTGTTAAATCCTTAACATCAGAAGGGAATGTAGTGTGCTAAGAAAAAGGGGAAAAGTTAAGTAACTATTTTCATTTTGTATTCTTTGCATAATAAAAAGTTGAAGTGATTTCAAAAGACACTGTGAAACTGTTTTCAAGCAGCCTTTCCACAGTATGAAAMGAAGAATCAAAACAGACCTTGATAATCCTGTCGCTATTGGCACAATTATTGATGATGGAAAGGGACTGCTGAAATCTAGTTCCTCCGATTCCAACAACATCAGCAATTAACTGGCTTACTGAAATAATAACCTTGACAGAAACAAACATCTTGTTAGTGCACATTTTAGGAAACATCCCAAAAACGTAAGCAATTATAAAAGAGGTTTTGTTCTTTTTAATTGAAGGACTATTTCCTGAAATAAAATTGTATTTGATAATTTTTTTTCCCAAAATCTATTTGTATAGCAACATAAACTAGTTTCTCATAGAATTGCCTATGTAGATTATTACAGGTAATCTGGTCCAGAAAAATGTCTGCTTAAATGAGMTAGCCACAGGTCATAAAAGTAAAAAGCACACAACTTTTCTACGTATTTCTGATTTGTTCAGGTATTTGCTGCTGCATTTCCTCCCTCCCCATACATAACAAAGAATGCTATTTCACAAAGCAATATTTACAAAACAGAAAACTTGCTGCTCACAAATAGAGAGTTGCATTTCTTAGAAAACCCAAGATTATTCAACTGTTTCTATTTTCCTGTAGTGTCAGGAGCATCTTCTTAACTTCTTAACATGTAATGTCATCTTCTTAACTTTGAACAGTACTGGTCTCACCTGAACCCCAAAATCATCKTTCTTCTGGCTCTGTTTCATAGGACTTTGCACACTCATATGCAGCTGCACATCTACGAGCATATGCAACCCAACACTTGAAAACATGGAAGAAGGAAAAATAAAGTATACTAACTTGCAGATGTGTCCTAACAAAAGACTTCTTCCCCGTGTAATCAAAATTATTTCTCATTAAGAAGTAGAGCAGCTGTGAAGCTTCAGTACGAATTGAGCTCAATTTGGAGTTACAGTACTTAAGAATTTCATAGCACAGTGCAGAACACATATCAGCTCTGCCTTCATAAAATGTAGAAGGAAACTGAGGAAAAAGCAGAAGAGAAAAGTTATCAAAGTAATTCTTGATAAAATGTGTCAAGAAAAATAAAAATATACTATTATTAAAAATTACACCAGTATTTTGAAATAGAAAAAAAAACCCCAACAATTACAGTAGTTCACAGCACATACTGATTTTTTTATAGTAATTCAAAGAATGAATATCTCCTCTGTTTTGGGATTATGACAGTCCTGATTCACCAAATTCAGATTGCAATTTTAGTTCTTAAACTTTTATGGAGTATATTGTTACCTAAAGAAACAGCCAAGTAACTGAAGACCAACAATTACAAAACTTCTTACCTTAAAAATAAGTGCCCTTAAAGCTATGAAGACATTTTTCAATGCTGTTTCCGACTGGTTCTTTTGAAGGAAGCAAAGGTACACATCGAATACTTTTTTCATCAGTGGGTTATGCCCGTGATCAGCCAGGAGTTGATTCTTTAAATTGATAGTGAGAATTTAGTTTTGCACTACAATATCTTTGCAGAACTCTACAACTATACACAGATCATCCAGAATGTTTTTGCTTCAGACAAGCAAGAAATCAAAAACAATGTGCACYGTAATATTACAATATTTGATAATGCAAAACTGAATTTTAATTAGATATTTCAAATATTTCATTAACCTTGCCCTTGCTCTACAAGGAATGTGTTGGCTTCTACTTTGCAGGTATGTAGACTTACAAAACAGTTATAACATACTTTTAACATCTGTTAATTAAATCAGTAACTAGTAGCAGTTCCTTGAGGCATTCTCTTGAAGGACTAACACTCATAGGTTATGCTGGCTGTAGCAGCTCAGACTGTGGAGTTTTCTCATGGCAGTATCTCTTACAATCCTCTAAGCCTCCTTCCTCCCTAAAACGCAACCCCATCTACTCACCATTTTCCCTTACTGTCCTAAAACTGAAGCTGAAAAAGCTTTTAAGGATGAAGGCCCTGGTTACTTTTCAGAGTTTTATCTACATCAAGAACCAAAATTACTATCTCAAGTAATTTTAAAGGAAATACTATTTCAATAAATCTTTCCTAAAATGTTAAAGTAGGTACTTCAGGCCTAAAATAGACCTGGACTCTTGTGGTGTACCTCAAGTTCCCTCAAAAATGGAAGAGATGCYTAACTGCAGATGTCTTCTTTTCTACCTACAAAGATGCAGGCTACAGAGTTCCAGCACAGTCCTCAACATTTCAGGTGTCCTCAATATAAAGCAGTTGGAAAGGAGGCCTTTCATTAAAAGTCACACTGAAAACTGCCCTGCCACTAAATATGCTGATTATGCCCAAGGGAAGCAGACAGGTCTTAGATGTGTTTTAATGTATCGGAATATAAACTGCTATTTTCTGGCACACTACCTCCTTTCTGAAAACATTAGAGATTAGACAACCTTGACACACTATCATTCCAAATGTGCTAGGCTACCTCCTTTCTGAACACACTAGAGATTAGACAACCTTGACACGCTATCATTCCAAATGTGTCAGGCAGCTGTTAGCTAAATAATCAGTGACCACTGCTCTTGCTTTTTAAAACTGAGTTAAGCTAAGTTAAAATCAAGTGTCTTCATTTTTGATTCTGTCATGAAGTCTATGGACAGAACTGGCCCTAAGCACTATCTATTTAAGCTGCTAGTAAAAGGAATGTCATTATAAATAGGCTTTTTTTTTTTTTTGCACCTACAAAAAAGATAAGAACTGATTTCTAATCTTCAAATAACGATCTGGTTTCAAAGAGGTCCACTGGTATAATTATGGGAAACATGAACTATCATTCTTGTTCTTTAAAGCTCTGCCAACAACTCTTTAGGAATGCTGAAGAAGAGCACATAGGAGGGGTTTGCCAATCACATGACACGGGGTGTGCTTCTAGAAAAGATTGCACCTGAGAGCTACAGCCACAGATACAACTAAAAAGGCAGCTCATACAGAGGAAGAAATAAGTTACAGAAAATGACAACAATTTCCTGTTGTCTTACTTAAAGAGTGGTTTCCTRTAAGAGGGGGTCAGTATTGAAACATAACTTGGGTCTTGCTATATAATACATTTATCACACCAAAGAGCCTTTAAAAATAGTTATATCAATACTATTAGCTACACACTGAGGTCTCAAGGAAATGTATATAGGAAAAACTAGGATGAGTAAAGGGTTTCCAACAGATTACTGTTGGTCAATATGAAGTCTCTTTCACATTTTATTGCTACCCTTCAGGCATGTAAGTTAAAAACATGCACTAGATTAAAATAAAATGGATTTACTCCAGTTTGCAGTTGCATGAACACTTGCATGAATCAGATGTAGAATCTTGTCTTAGACAATAATCCTGCGTCTTTCCGCAAATGAGGTGTGCCATGTGAAGTATTTAACTAAAGACAAAGCATTTTGCTTTGACAGGTTATCAGCTATTGAATAATCACAAAATATTTATGTCAAAAGTTAAATACAATACTAGAAACGCTAAAAAATGCAATTCCATACTACTATACAATACGAAATAAAATTTTTGAAATATTTCTCAAAGTAATTTTTCTGAAAGATAATTACAGGGCATRTTAACATCAAGGACAAACCTTGAAAGCCGTTGTGAATAATGACAAAGTATCCAGAATCGTAAGGCAAACTTCAGTGGCAATATTTGCTTCAAGTAAAGACTGGTGAAGAACATCAGCATCTGAATGGCCATAGCCTACAGAAATTTCAAAGAAAATGTAAGCAGTTGAAACACTCACTAAAACATTTCGTATTTGCAAAAGTCATGTTGTACTAGAGAAAGTTTAACAAAAAGGAAAAAGCTTGACAAAAGTTTATATTCGATATAAAAAATTTCATATGCATTTTAAATACTTTTCAGATATGTTTCACATACATAATTATTCTAGCAAATTCACACACAATCACAAAACACATCAAGAAAGAAAGGGAAAAAAAATGTTAATAATAGAAGCACTAAATAGCAGTTAAAATCTTAATTGCCTGATGTTTCATTTGTGTGTATATATCTATGTACCTATTTGTGTGTATACATCTATGTACCTATCCTAAGTATTACAGTAGGATGGAGTTACAGCTGGAAACATGTACTGGCAGTTTATAGATGCTACAGATGTTCTAAGAACTGAAAGAATGCAATAATAGCCTATGAGAATGTAGTCAAAGACTCATATAATTAATTGTAGTATGTAGGAATTACCATGAGGTAGCTCCAGATTTGATCAAAACATTTGATTGCATTTAGTTCCAAATTGTATTTCATTAATTTTTTWAAAAATATGATAAACACTGCTGGCATGCACGATATGCTGAACACTCAGAATCAAATCATCAAATATACCCTGGCTACTTTACACAAATTTGGTCCAGACCACTTTGGCACATTAGATTTACAGTCCCCCCGGCCCTGCTACAGCACTGCAAAGCACACCAGAAACTTCTGAGGCCAAGAAAAGGACAGACGAAAGGACACTCCGTCATAGTGACACCTGGCCACTTGTTTCTGCACAGTCTCTGCGTCCCAGCTTGGACACGCATACTTGTTCACAGATTTTTTCCTCCCACACTAAGCCGACCTCGTGCAATGCGTAGCTTTAAAAGGAGAGTCATCTTTTGGAATCTGTTTCTGGTTTTAAAAACTAAACTATGAAACTCAAAGTCAAAGCGAGCACATAGAAAGCTATTCTGTAGGGGGAAAAAAATCTGTAGAAGACTGTAGAAGAATGGGAGTTTTCTACCTGCTTTACAGCTCTCCCAAACACTGGAGGGGAGCTAAATAGCCACTAGTTTCCATGGATTAACAGATTTTTTTTTCTAGCAAGTACGCACCTCTTTCCTAATACCTTTCACACTCTCTCTGCCTCCACCTCTCTAACATACATTTTTTTTTTTAATGGTTGCAATCCAGTTGTTTCCTTCACTTTTGAAGTTTCATTTGGAAACAAGTTTTAGCACAACAGCACATTTACGGGTATTTTTCATACCCTTTTTTCTCCTAGTAAAAGTGTTCTTTTCCTTCAAGAAATTCAAAGAGCAGTTCTTTTTTCAAAGCACYTTCTGGTCACCTTTAGGTTCACCTAATTGACTAGGTTGACCTAGTTATGCAAATATTTTGATAACARTCTGTACACTTACATTATTGCAGATAACTGGATTTAAAAAAACCTAAAAATGGGGAAAACAGGATAATCTCRAACAACTACACAGTAGTCAGTGATTGTACACTGCTATTAGAGGTGAGAGTGTCTCTCTCATAGTTCAATGTATTTCTGCATTGCTGTGTATGCAGCTGAGCTTTCTTCTCTCCTCCATCCCCAGAAATATAAATATAAATCTACCTTCCTGCTGGACTATATTGAGATGTTTCAAAAATTTGGAATACATTATATTGGCCTAAGCTTTCTCATACTATATTGCAGATTAATTAAGCTAATTAAGATATTAACATGTATAGGCAACTGCCTTGCCAAAGGATCATGATTATAAGCACAAGTAAAATAGCTACTTCCATCAAATACATCCTTATTGTATGTATCCTATATAAGATACCTGACAGATTTATTAGAGTTTTGAACACTATCTTGGATATCCGTTCCAGGCTGATTACTAAGCAAAACTGAACAACAGGCAAGAAGAACCAAATATATAGAAACTAATTTCATATGGCTTTTATACCAACATATTTTTGCCTCATACAAACATTGGCCAATACAAGGAGTAATAGCCTTTTATTTGTTCAGTATTCAACATTAAAACGCTGTTTTTATTTTATTCAGAGTTMTCTGAGTGAGATACCTTCCCTGATAGCCTCATCTGTTTTAGATGGAAAAGTACTGACAGTATCTTTTTAATACAGGCATGCATTATTAAAATCAAAATTAAAATTATTAAAAGTTTTCACTTTTCAAATTCAGTAAACTTGGCTAAGTACTGGAAATAGGCACCCTCTTTCCACACAGGACCCATTTTTAAAGTCAGGCTTTCTCCACCAAAAGTATTTCATCACAGTCAATTACACAGAGTCATACAGTGCAAAAGCCCTTTCTTTGATGTATTCAAAAGCATGTAGAAATCAGTATGACACAGCAACAGTACTGCTGATTACAGGACTGCTTCACTGTTTTCTCCTAATTTTAATTCGTTTTTTAATGAAAGAAGGTGAGAGAATGTGCTTATAACACAGAAAACCCCTCTTAATTTTTCCATTACACTACACAAGAACTCTTAAGCAACTAAGTCAACTGTTGTTTTATATTACAGATAATGAGTTTAAAGGCTTTAAGTACCTGCAGACAGTAAGGTATGTGTTGGTAAGCAAAGGGATGAATACAGAGAGCATACAGTTAACCCTCATGATAGCTCTACTATATGTAATTCTTTTCAGTGATAGTGCTGTATTTTATTGGATTAGTCAATCTGTTTCATTGCATTTTGAAGCTGAAAGTTTAAAAATGATACTTTAAAATATCTTACACACAGCATAACTTGCAATTCAAGAGCAGTATATTTTAAAAGATAGGACATAAGCAGATTTAGTTTTCCATACAGTCTTACACAAGCTGACTTCAACCTGATTAAATCTTACCATTGTCTACAGAAATTCCAAGAATACTTGATATCTTTCTCACACTGAAAACAGAAAAATCACTTCATTATTGGATGGTTTTTTTCACTTCCAGWCAAACTAGATCATGGGCTTCACACTCTTCACAGAAAATCTAGTAACATATTTCTCCTTGAAGGATGTCAAAACATGGAGATATGGTCAAAGTGCATATTTTAATTTAATTAATCATTCATAAGATCAACTTGGAAAAAGTAAAAGGAAGTAATGAGAAACATATACATTCTGTAACTGTGCACACAGCATGAAGTTCAAGTGCATTTATTAAAAAAAAAAAGGAAAAAAATTAAAATACAATTACAAAAAATGCTGTAGTTAACCATGCTCCATGTTATGGCATCATCCAGTGTTGATTGTTCTATTGTAAAGCAGGGAACAGACTGTGGACTGATTCCAGCTACTTGTTTGACCTAGAACAATAAAAGTTATTGAAATGCACTGGTTGTGGCTCTGTGTCCTGTCTCTGGTGTTGTGGTACTGCTGAGGATGATGAATGTTATGTTGTCATGAAACTTACTGTGGTTAAAAGTGAGAGAGTTATCCAGGCTGCTCAGCTGCTGTAATCTGGCATGCATCATTCCTGTTCTGTTACGGGAAACAGGCAATGTCTGAGAYTTTCGATCATGAACTATGGATCCCAACCCCTCCTGGTTCCTGCAAGATGGGTGAAATGGGATAGAAGCAAAAGTTAGACATGTCAAACTGCAGCAGCATAGGAAGCGTTAGTTAAGCAATTACAGCACAAGAAGTTGTATAGAAAGATTTGTAATGCAACCTATTTGCTGTTTTATTTATAAAACAAAAATAGGTAGCTTAAAAAAAGCATCACTGCAAACTCTTTCTTAAAAAACCTCAAGGCRTGAAAGCAAAAGCACACAAGCAGTTGCTCTTGAAATCAATTTACTTCAGAGCTTCTGAGAACAAAAATGCTACAGAATATTCTGAAAATATTCAGAACTCAAAACCGAAATCTTTCGACTGTACAAAATTTAGAAAAAAGTTAGGAGGACACATAAGGCTAAAATTAGAAAGATTACATGCAGTAGAAGCGTATGAATTAACTGAGGTATTATTATGTACATCTTACCCAAGCAGGAAGGGAGAAGAGCCATACACTTTGTTAAACTTGCAGCAATCAAGTGAAGAAAACAGAAAAGTGATCTGTGTTAGCAATCAGTACAGGCTAACTTCCTACTGTGTACCACCACCAGAGCTGATGAAAAATAAAAACCAGTGCTTGAATTATACAGTTCCCTGTTCCCTTTTACTGTTATTTGTGCATTTTAAGAGTATGTGCATTGCCTGTGACATACTTCGGTGTAATGACAATGTGAAAGGTGGGAAAACTGCTTTTATTGGGAGAGTTCAACACCTCTGCATAACACAAAATGATTTCTTTAGCCTAATTACTTGAGCATAACTTGCAACCCAGATTAAGTGATCAGTCAACAAAAAGCAAGTATGGTAGTCTTCTCTACAAACTAGTTAAGTTAGTTTAATGCATTTATGAAACCCCCCCAAATTGTCAAATCTTGTAAATCCAGGGTTTGAAGTTTTCGACTGTTAAAAGCTCCAACATAGCCAGATTCATTTTGGCTTTTGGATCATTTCTCAGGCCTTTTGTTTGTTTGTTTGTTCATTTTTAAATTGTAAGAACATTCCTCCTGAAAAATCCCCAAGAAGGTGGTCTAAACCTTCGTGTTTGTAGAATGAGATGCACATGCTATTAAATCTAAACCAAAAATTAAAAAGCTAACATCTTAGTCAGCAACACTTTTCTCATTGAGTTCAAAAGGGAAGTTTTTAAAGACCACAAGTTTAATTATAACAGCATCACCATGTCAAGCACAGCATGATGTATAAACAATCTATTATCATTTAGTCTGTTATAAAATTATTTCCCATAAAAATTATCCAAAGATATTCAAATAATTCAGTAGAGGTTTCTGACACCCACAGATTTTCTCCTAAAGAGCTTTCAATGAAAGCATACAGGCATCTTCAGTCTTYTGATTTAAAAAACAAAACAAAAACCAACCAACCAAACAAAAACCCCAGCACCTTTGGAATGTTTACTATTAATGTTCCAATAAAAACATTATATAGAAAATTTCTAAAATTTTTCAAGTGACATAGGTTAAATCTCAAGTGTATAGAATGCATTAAATTGCAMGATAATTCTTCCCAAAAGACTTCATTATAATGAAAAAAGAAATTGCTGTAAAAGTACAGCATTCACCAAGTGGATTTGAAAATATTTTATTATAGACATTTATAACACACTCCCATTATTCTTGAAATAGTAGGTTTTCAGCTAGGATCCAGATTTGATAACACAGTAAGCAGCTACTCATTTCAAATCGTTAGGTATTATTTCACAATAATTTTTCTATCATCATACAATTCACTTGCGATAGAGATTCAAAGAATATTGTTCATGCTATTATTCTTAGCAGACAAGACTGTTAAATTCAAATTCCACACAGTACCTGGCTATATATCGTTTTCCCATGTACTGGAACTGGTGTAAGCATACTCTGCAGAAAAAACACATAAGACAGAGAAGCATCACGTAAAATGATTTTAAAATGATGTGTGTTGGAATCATTCAGCTATTATTTGTGTTTGACCTTCATACTGTTGCCTCACAAATTTTSTTCCTCTCTTAAAATTTCTCCCACCCTTACAATTCCCTTCCATTCCCCAAGCCAAGARAAGCAAGACACAGCTCCTCTGAAGTCAGTCATTGATGGCTCTTATTTTGTTCAGGTTGGGATTAGTATCAAAAGGCAAGCAAGGGAGCCTCCAGAGCACACCCATCTCAACGCAGCATCAAAACAGCCAGCAAAGAGCCAAAAGGTGAAAGAACAGAACATCCTAGAAAGCTGTAAACACAGAGCTGACACCCTTCATTTTGAATGGATTTTTATTATTTAATATTTATAGAAGCATAATATTTAGCCTGAACTGTCACAGGCCAAACTTCATTATATGAAATGAGGTATAGCCGTTTTCCCAACRAACTGCAATCCAAGACAAGCAGCACGCAAAGAACTGAAGCAGAGAAAKAACCTGACATTATACACACCCACATTTGGCAAAATGTGCTCGAGAGCTAAAGGAAGARCAATAAAGCACACATCTTTCCTCTTGGCCAAAAAAAGACATTTCTGGGCCTCTCGATACCAAGATACCAACAATGAGGTTCCTTTTCTAAAGGGAAAACRCTTTTCTGAAGCTATTTCCAGAAAAGGCAAAACTAAACTTCCCCTTTTGAAGKGGAAGAGCTTTTACAATAATCAGAAGGGTACATCCTAAAAGACCTAACAATGAGAAACAACCTGTACTGGTAGAAATTATCATCAAAATGAASATGATTGAATTTGATAAAATACTAGAAATGGAAGAAATAGACTTCAATTTGCCTTGCTCCTGTGCTGGTTCAAGAAAGTAGGGTATTAATTTTCCATTAAAGCATTAATCTATGGGAAACCGTACTCTGTACTCCTCAGACTGATGTGATGGAAACCTCCTTTGGCACTCAATAACCTGAGATTGCTCATTTGATCACAAACCAACCCTATCTGACCCTTTAAATAAGAGGCAATGGCAAAATACTATTTTATTACCGTTTTATCCCTTAACTCCTAGTTAAGGGTTACACATCAGGCCTTACAGTCTACTAACYGGGCTCATTTACTTGTTCAGTTCTGTCTCTAGTACAGTATTTYGCTACGTGCACTTAAGTGCTCAACTAAAATACACACCTACAACACAGTCCTAAAACAGTTTTTCAGCAGGGTATTCTGCAACGCAGTTAGAAGCTGATATTACAATTACTGAGACTGCACTATGGAAACAAAGGAGAACAGCCTAGTGAAACAGCAAGGCCTGCAGAAAAGCTTCTGCAGTGCCCCATGTCGAGCAGAGAGTGTCTCCACACCTCTTCCTTATTTATTACTCTTTATCAGCCAGTTCTCATGTTACAATAATGCTAAACCCGGGTAAATGCTTGAGCGTAGCTGTTGGCAAAATACTGGACTCCAGTTTCTTTTCCCTTCTGATATGGTGGGGAAGGGAAAGCCAGAAAGACAAAGAGCTTTGTTGCTGGCAGGACGTAACTCAGTCAGCTTTGATATGTAGACACCAGTTGGCATTGCAGGAGGGCTTAGAAAGCAGACAGGTCAAGCAAGAAGTTGGTTCCTCTTGTGGGGAAACAGCAGCAGTGTGAGGGCTCCTCACTGTTTAAGAACGTCCCTGAGATCGCTTCTCTATAGTCCAATTACAGTAACTACCAAGAAATTTAGCCAAACTTTTGTGCACATCAAGCTAAGGAATTATAAACTGAGACTTTCAAAGAAAGAAATATATTATAGGCCCTTAAATTCACACTGATTACTTTAAAAGCAAAGTGAAATGTATCATTTTATGAGGATTTTAGCATGCACTTACTCTGTAATTGTGAAAAAATCCATGAGTTSAGATTTTGTAGCCTTGTTCCAGTATGCAAACAATGCATCTATGGAAAATATTAAAACAAATAAGATAAAGGCAACAAACACATAAAAACATTAAGCAGAAGAGTAAACTTTAGTTCTCAGTTTTTATGATGGGGATTCACAGAATTTTAAAATGACTACGGGGAGTACATATGATTATTACTATTTTACTTGAAGCTGATTATACAATTGCACACAATTTTTTCGGAGTACGCTTTTAATGAATTTGTAATATTTCCATATTGCTACATGTTTTGAAGAGTAGTAAGTGTGTAGCTGGTGATGGTGTGGGTGTTCCTAAAAATATGACTTTAGAAGAGTTTGAAATAGTAGTCTTGTTATCTGCTTCTTTATAGATTGATCTCAACCTTTTTGAAGTCTTTATTTGCATTTTTTCTCTTGTTTTAATCACAATGCTTTACCATGGATAGTTTTTCTAGGACTTGCTGGGCCACCCTGGTCAACTATGGACTAGTCAACAAATCAAAGCTATTGGAGACATGCACAAATTCCCAAACCTGCTACATTTTTTCCCAAACCTTGTAGCTACATAGCCAAAGCACAGTTTTGCAAAAATGTTTAAAATCAGCTAACAAAGTCAAAATTACTACTGAGATGTATGACAAAGTTTGTTTGATATTTCTCCTTGTCTACTAGAATTCAGGCTAAACCCATCTCCCATCGCAATGCAAGCTTCATATCAACTTCTTAAACCAGTAAATTTTAACCTGAGCTTCCTGGTAATTCTGACAATCTTCTTTATATATTCCAAAAAGTAAAACAGTGAAAAAATACTTTCCTTTTCTATCATTCTTTGCAGTTATCATACATAGGATCTATGCCATTACATGAAAAATTTAAAATGTGACTGTATATTAAAATATTTGTAATCTTTCAAATATCATTCTTAATTATGTAGTACAATAAATTAGAATTCAAGTAGTACTACATCAACTAGGTTTATATGGTTTAACAACAAAATATGCTAAGAAAGTAATACTCCCCTTCACGTTTTGCACAAATTGACAATTGCAGTATTTATACCAAAGGTTCTCCCCTTTTTTTTTCTTTTTAATGCTGATGGAGGTTAATGATGATTCTAAGTTCTATGATCCTAGAAAAAAATTAAAAAAGATTTGCCCTTCATGCAGTACCTGCCTGTGGCCCCCTGATAATACGTGAGTCTTTCAGAATTTTCAACAGATAATTTTGCGAATACCTGGAGAATACTCTGGAATATGCAGAAGCACTGGTATTGCCTCTCCCCAAAATGGAAAGATACAGGGATTAGGTAAGTTGGTTCACAGTCATATGGGACATTGTGCAGAACACAGAGCAGGACTCACAGTATCCTCTTGCACTGAAGAGAGGAGCATTTATTCTTCACTCCAGTCTCTAGTCTAGACTGTATGATCACACATGAGCCTACCAAAGCTATCAGTTTGCCTTGTGTATTGAAAGAATAATGAATATTAGGTGGCCACAAAGTTTCAAACAGGATTTAATTTGATCAGTCACACAGATCTGTAAAACCTGTCACAACATGACACCTCCATCAAAATATTCTGCCAGTTTTAAAAAAATGTTGTCACGTGCATAAATCAAACACATCTTTTCCAGTATATTGAAATTAGATGGAATTACCTACCATCTGACATACTTCTTAAGATATGAAGAAAGCACATGAGCAGACTCTTGATCTCTGCTTGGTCAAGCTTGTCATATCGAACTACGGAACTTCCTAAAGTGCCAGCCTGTTGATTCTGAAAAGAAAACAGACAAAGCTTTGGCTACAAAGTTCTTGAACTGGTAACAAGCTAAAATATTTTCAATTATCTTATTAATCCCTGCAACAGCAACAGGATCTCAGAATGGAGACAAAATGTTTCAGAGAGAGGAGACAGGCCAACACTTCATACACACAAATACCAAACTAAGCCTCTTTACCTTCATTCATTTTTATTTGCTTCTTTGGATGAGTTTTTCTTCCAGGAAAGGAGGGAAGAGGGAAGGTTACCTAATAGTGACTATCAATCAAGATAATTATGAATTGGTAACCATGTTGTGGAAAATGGACATGCCYTTTCTTAGTTGAAATACTGTAAAAAAATACATCCTCCTCCTTCAAAAAAGTCTGCTCTTTAACCAGTATGTTATACTTAACTGCAGAATACGCCTACCTCCACAACACTCTCTTCATTTAAAGACTTAATAACACTTATGTTTCCCTTGGGAGTATGGGAATAATGTGTTTTTTGGTAACTAGTGAGAAGCTCCTCAGATAGCTTTTCTTCTACCTCAAGACTTWGTTTTTACAGTTCTCACATTTGTGGGAAGTTAATCATCAATTGCCTAAACCAAATAAAATCTATCCAAAAAACAAMATCAAAGAAATCCACGACTGATCTTTTAGAGAGTACATCTAAAGAGCTACAAAAAGGAGAAGAAAAGAACTGTAAGAATATACAAATTGAGCATTGGGCTGTGGCTTTTCTCTAAAAGAACCATTTCCATATGAGCAAGTGCCAAAAAAACCCTCAATTAAGACCTTTACAGATACACTATACGTTACATTATTTAAAGGATAAACTATGCCCTCTTTTAGTACCGTTAACCCTCAGTTTCAATATGAGGCTAGTTATCTGAATGGCAGGATAGCAAGTCATTTAAGAAGTCTTATCAGTCTGATACARTAGATCTGTGCAACTCCCTGGTTTCTGTAAGAAAGCCAGATCACCTCAGCTTATCTTTTTCAGGACACACTAATCATCCTGGAAGAAATCCTCTACATCAGAATGCAGAAACAGAAGTCTGTATGTATGGGTATCTACATATCTCAGAAGTTAGTGTAAGTTAAGAGGAAACGCACACCTATATGACCCTAATTACTGTATATTCTAAATACATCACAACCTACTTGTCTTTGAAATATCTCTACTCAGCAAGGAAGTGCTACTGTACAACATTATGAATACTGAAATAATGCAAGTAAATAATGACTGGCAGAATTTAAACTGAATTTAAGTTCTCAGGATTTTTAGGATCCTGTCCAGAGCACTAGATAATCTGGCTTCTAAAATAGTTGAAAATACACATGGACAAAAGTAGGGCTTAAAATTACCTCAAAAAAAATTCTGTAACTATGTACACATTAGAATAGAAACTGGTACACTTGTGATTTCACCAGTATAGTTCTACAAGCTACTCTGAACAAAACTTAAAACGAAAACACAGCTTTTTGTAGTAATGAGATCAAGCAATGAGCAAAAATCTGAAGATACATGCATGGAACAACTGATAAACTAGAAAGAAAKTTTGAAAGCAACAAATAAGCCAAGATTAAGTATTCTTCTGAAAAAAAAAAAATGTTAACAGCATGCAAAACACAAATCCTATAGTACCATTTGCCAGACCAGAGTAGAATTTTCAAAGGACACTGATTCCTTTGAAAACCCTTTCACTTAGTAAAAGCAAAAAAAAAAAAAAAAAAAAAAAAAAAAGGGCAAAAAAAGAAAAGCTACACAGCTGTAATAAACAACATGAAAACTAAGTAATAGATGACAGTATTGCCATTTAGCAACAGTGTACACACGAGACATTTGCTTGGTAAATTCCAATGAATTGTTTTTACTCCTATTTATATTAAAAATGCTAAGGCTCAAATTCTGCTAATACTTAACCTGATTAGATTTTTATGGTTAAATTAAATCATGTACATGAACTATTACAGGATTAGCATTTGATGGCCTCTTATCTGGTTGCTTCGTACATATTTGCTTCACGATGCAACTGTTGCAGAGAAGTGGCAAAACTACAGATCACACACTTCACTCAGCAGCTTAACTATACCAAGCACAAGAAACCAAATACTTCTGGTAACTGAAGAGAGAGAGCAGCATGCAAAATTTTCTCGGGCAAAGTTGGAATTGTCAGAAGTGAAAAATCCATAGTGACACGGTTTTTCTTTGCAGGGTGGGAATTTTCTTCTTCTTCTCCATTGGGGCGCATAGCATGAGCAGAGTGCCTTCTGAGAAGCTTCTCTCTCTGCCACAGGAAGGCATGTCAGAGTCAAGGGGAAAAAGTTAACATGTTGTGACGGGCACAACAAGATCTAAGAAAATGAAAGGTGATCAGTATCAATACAATCTCCAAAAAGACATGACTGAATAACTAACTCATAGCTACTGCAGCCACAACTCCTAATACCTAATAGGTTTTGAGTAAAATGATTTAGAGAAGTCAAACTAATCTAACAGAAGTCACCTGGAGAAAGGGCAGCAATTAGTTTTCTTAGAAATATTAAAAATGCTACATATATTGTGTGTAGAAGAGGATGAAGCAAAGGTCCCCACAAAATCGAAGAAGCTGTCCCAACTARGTTTCAATTCTCTTAATATACTTCATTTATTGACTTAATTCAACAAATAAAACACCAGCTATTGCTTATGTCTCTAATTAAAAAAAAWTTTTTTCTTTTCCCCTGTAGAATAGCTTAATAAATGCAATGCAAAAATAACTAATATAACAACTATAGTTAAACAGAAGCAAAATCACATAAAATACTGCTCTACAGTTACTCTGTAAAGTCAACCTCATAGGAGATTACAGAAGTTCTCTCTTATGGGAACCAGAATCAGTTTTTAGAAATACAGCCCTTTAGAAATACAGTCTTTTTGTTTCTCTTTTGTTGTTGTTGTTTTGCTTTGTTTACCTTGTCAAGGGAATTGCTCTTGTCACTTTGTCGTTCTGGGAGACTGTTTCCTGAGTCGGTACTTATAAGAGAGCCTCTCGAGTCAGCATTCCTCACACAATTGATGTTTGGAGTTGATGTGGTATATGGGGAAGCTAAAAATAGCAAAAAGAAAAAAAACGTACATACATGTACAGAAAAGAGTAAGGCTTCTAAAATATCATATATATTATACACACACACACATACACATTTTAAAAAGGTAAACCATTACATACAAAGAAGATACATTTATTGCATAGTTTCAGCAATGTGTATACACATATACACACAAACTTAGGTACAAATACATAGATGCAGATGAAAAACACATATGTACAGATACACACGCATTAACATGAAAAAAAATTATTTTTAAAAAACTCTCATTCTTCATTTTTCATCTCATATGATTTTTTCAGTCACAAGAAAGTACTAGTTAATTGTACCAGAAAGCAGAAAAAAAACCCAAAAAATGTGCTGAGAAGAAAGATGGGAGGATGACTGAGCTGGGCACCCTGCAATCCCCTTAGAGGTGGTCCTTAACATCCCCTACAGAACGGGGCGTTATGATGCTCTTGCAGAAGTGACTACAGATATTATCTCTTATTTCTCTGTAGCAATGCAAGAACAAGATTTGATGACGGTGGGGAGCAAAGCTGATAGCTCCAGGAATCAGTTCTCTTCCCCTCTTTTGTTTCTGTGTGTGGGGTTTTGGGTTTTTTTTTCTTTTTTTTGAAAGGCAGAGACAAACAACACCACAAACATCCTACAMGAAAGATTTTTAACTTGCAGACTGCAAATTCTAGTCCACACCAAATAGCTGATTGCATTAGGATTCTGTCATCTAAAAGTAGAAAACTAGGGAAATGTCTACAATATGGTCTCTGTGGATTAAGAAGAAACTCTTGGGGGAGAGGGAAAAAGCCCTCCTAAACCCAGATTTAAACTCCACTAATATGTAACATTCATGTGCACATTCGAAAAGCAACTGGAGCTGGACACAGAACAGTTATGTTCAGCAACAAGGAAAAAGGAAATATTAAGAGCTTACCAATGCCAGAGATGACACCAAAGAGATCTTTTGGAAGGCTGTTATCCAATGTGTTTCCTGACTTCTGTGGTGTTACTAGGTGACTTGCAGTTGGCAAATTAAGTGCATCATCCTTTGCACTCTGTTTGGAAAAAAACAGAAAAATGTGATTAATATTTTCCAGTATCCTGGTTCTAGTGCATATTATATACTTTTATCTTGAAGAGCAGCATTTGCTTTTTGTTTCTTTCGTAAGTATTAATTTCTACTAATTATGTTCAAAAGCATGGGATGAGATGTTCAAATATTTGCAGAAGTAGGGATAGTTTCAAACTTAGGACATCCAAACACTGCAAAATGAATAGASCATGGAATTTTAAACATTAAAAACTACATATTTCCAAAATGCACAATTTGTTTTTACTTCACACACACAAATATTTTTCTCATTGGAAGAACACCATAAGTTTACTTCTTTCTTAAATTGCAAAAGAAGCACAGAAGAAAGTGGACAAACAAGAATAAAAGAATTCTTTAATCTTTAAATCTTAGATTCAATAATTATATCTAACTATATCAATAAGTTCATTTAAAGATTCCATTTTAATTCATTCTCCTTAGACTACCACTTTTCCAGAAGTTCACTCCTTTAGAGTTGGAATTTTTCTTTTCTTTTTTTTCTTTTTTTTTTTTTTTAATTAAACAAATGTATTTTTGGTCCATTTATTTTTCTTTTGAACTGAAATAGGAAAATAAGATTTTTATACATATGTGTATATATGCGTATGTACATATAAATTTATTTTCCTGATTCTTTATATATACATTAAAAAACTACATCTAACAAACAGTCTTTTATACTGAATAGCAACAGCAGCTACTGATTCTGACAAGGTTTTAACAAACACAACTAATTCTAGATATAGTGGAAGACAGTGGGAGTTTTCTCTTGAATAAGAATTAAAGGCAATATTACAAACTACAAGTTTTGTACGAAACGGCAGGACAGACTGCAGAGAAGGGCCATTTCTGGCAAAAAAACCCCACAGACATGATAATTTAATGAAAACTTATAGAGAAACAATAAATATTTTAACCTCAATTCCATACTTCCTTCTGCTTCTTTGGTACTTAATACTGTCAATAAAGCTACATCAAGTCCAACCCTATATGGTCTATAGTTGTACTGACATACAGGAAGGTGCCCCAGAGATGATGCACAGGCAAGATATTACACGAGAGTAYCATCAGATGGCATTACAATGACACTATGGTGGTCTGGGGGGCCTAGCTCCTCAAAAACATCAGAAATTCCAAAAAGGATCAATAAGGGAAGTGTAGCTTGTACATAGGACCAAGGTATTTTACTCGTGAGACAAGGCATACAACTTACCTGTATTAGAAAACCTGGGGCCAAACTCACAAAAGTAAGTAAACTTAATTTAAAAAAAAGCAAGGAGAACAATCTCGAGGAATGTGAAGTTTTTCATATATGAAAATAGTGTTACCATTATGAAAAAAAAAAAAAAAAAAAAAAAAAAAACATATAAAACTGGCCACTCACATTGCTGGAAGGGTTAACAGGAAACGGAGACACATCTTTGACATTGATTCGCTGAACATTTTCTATGAGCAGTCCAAAGAGTGGCAAATACATAGTGGCTATTCGTGCCTGATGGCTCTAAAATAGAGTTCCACAATTCATTAGCAAATAGCAGATTTCATGTTGATTATCCAAGACTATTTTTTAAAGCTACTTTTTTTTTTTAGTATTTCTGTTAAGCTGCAGAAAAAATGCTTCAAGTGGATTCTTTTTTTTTTATCTAAAAGTAAATAGAGTTAATTTCATATTAACTTGATAAATTCGTGGTACCTGTTAAAATTTCATGGCTTTCCCATAGCACAGCTGTTTCCTTTTTTTTTTTTTTTTTTTAAAAAAAAAGACCTGGAAAATTAAAAATCACTCAAATTTTACCACTATAATTTGCAACTTAAACTCTTTTATCCTCAATAAGATATGATAAATGTACAACTGCTGAATCTTAAGAGCTAATGTTTACTGGAAATAAGAGCTTTTAAAACAGACAGTAAAATTCGCTTACTGTACCTCTTCGAAGTTAGTGCATCTCAGCTATTTCACCATACCAAAAAGCAATAAGCTTAATTAATAGCATAATTATGCTAGAAAAGGAGCTTTGTATTTTTATCTGGCAAAAAACATTTGGCTTTATAGATTTTGATACAATTATCGACTAAATTTGTTCACACTAATACAGTGCGAACTGGAACAGCATGGCTATAAAGTAATAAATTTCAGGGGAAGGGAAGGGAAGGGAAGGGAAGGGAAGGGAAGGGAAGGGGAGGGGAGGGGAGGGGAGAATATATGGCCTTGAATGCACTGAATCTTTATATTTTGTACTCCTAATAGAGAAAATGCACTTACCCTGGAAGCATATCTGTCATCAAAAGAATGCTTTATCATCAAGTTCTTGAGCACACTAATTGCAATCTGCCGGATGTCTCTGAACTCCTGTAACGCATTTCCCACCTCCCTCAGAAGCAATCCCACTAAGAAGTGATTCTTACAGAACTCATCTGTTAATGAATAGTCAAGGTGAAGGTCTGGAAATAAAGCACAAGCCCTCTGTAAGGAATAGACCCATTTAAATTAATGTATTAATTGACAAGAAGTTGAGTAAAAATGTTCTCCAGCTTATTCACAATGAAGATTCCAGATGATGTAACTGTAAATCTACACCAAGCTGTATATGTATACAGATACTTCTATACAGATGTTAAAAGATACACACACAAATATATATCAGACACCAAAATCGAGCTATTCAAAATAATTATTTGAATACCAAATGTACCAAAATACCAAAATGTACCAAAATACCAAAATAATTACTGAACTGATTTGCACAGTGAATATAGCACATGTGGCATCATCTATTTACTATAACACAGAGGAGCTAATCTCAAGACTTTCTCTGATTAACTTTGTTCAACACAACAGTTCAAGACCAGGGGCTCATCTCAAAGTACATTCACTTTTTGGAAGAACTCCCCAGTAAGGGAGTCCATTAAATGGAAAGAAACACAAATAGTAATGCATAGACTTTCTACAGTTCTCCTTGTGCAAATAACATAACAGCCAGTCACATTCCAGCAGAGATGTCTCGTGTGGGATAGCAAAACAAATCCAGAAACACTTGTGCAAACCATCTTTTTCCCTGGCTAAGCTCCTAGATCACCAAGGAGCAGCATTTTATACTATTCTTTATTGTGCAGTTAGAAATACTATTTCTTCTAGTTCGGTTATTCCCTTATACACACTAAAACAATCCACAGGTGCTTTTCATTGGGAAGATTTACACAATGTTAGTATCTAATGCATTCCTGAAGGCTAAAAAAAACCCCAAACACACAAGCTCTACACAGTTATCCTAGTCATATTATGCTGTTCTATCTTAGCAAAAGGTCTGATGAGTTTCATTCAACTTTACCAAGACAGCAGAGGATACTGAAAAAATATTTCAAGAGAGATAAATCTACCGGAATTAGGGTAGATCTGGTATACCAGAAGTATGAAATCCACCAGCCCAATGGAACTAACAGGAACTATCAGTAGCTTATTTTCCTTGGTTGTAAAAACGCCTTCCTTGTCTCTGCTATGCATGTTTGCTTTGCACCAACACTGGGAAGAATGTAATGGTTTTAAAGCTGCAGATGCTAACATACTATTTATTTTTGGCACATTTGGTTAGGTGTATCAAGAGCCCAGTTTTATATACAAGAGATGCAGACAGAAATGAGCTCCACCAGAGGAATATAGAAACACTGACCAGGGATGTAGGGTGTGCGCCAGGAAGGCCAACACATAGCTACAGCTGAAGCTGGAAATGGCCACCAACAGCAACACGAGCAGCTTCTGCTACTGGGGAATGGAGTGACTGGTGAGGGAAGAGCTCTGCTGCAAATGACCCAGGAGTCCGGGTAGACAACAGGTTAAACAGGAATCAGCAGTATTTTCTGGCAGCACGGGAGGTTGCCCAGGCACACTGGGCTCTATCAACAGAAGCACAGCTAGTAGGTCAGGAAGGGATTTATCTGCTTTACTTGGCGTTTGTTAGATCACATCTGTAATACTATGTCCTGCTATGGGCCCTCTAGTACAAGAAATGTTTAAGTGCATTCAGTGGAGGACCAAGATAATGGAAAGCTTGGAGCACATGACCCCTAGAGGGATAAATTAAGGGATTCAGTTTGGAGAATAACCTAAAACAGCCTTTTAACACATAAGGGAGGTTGTCAAGGAGATAAGAGTTAGGCCAGGAAAGGCTTTACAGATGTGCACAGCAGAGAGGCAGCCATCATAATTTAAAGCAGAGGAGATGTGTTGGATACAAGGGAAAGAAATTCTTCACCACAAGGATGGTGGGACTGACTGCTGTCCCAAATGAGCAGTTTCCTAGGGACACTGCAGAATTTCCATCCTTGGAGGTTCTCAAGACCTGACTGGACAAAGCCCTGAGCAACCGCATCTCTATTCTGTAATGCCTCTGGTCTGAGTGGGACTTACAGACCTGCTGAGTAATTCTATTAAGAAAAAAAAAAAAGTTTAAAAAGTTAAAAAAAAAAGGTAAAAAATGCACCAAGCATCACACTCCGCACCTACACACAGAAATGCTGCAGAGCTCTACAGCTTGTGAATTACAAGCTAACTCATGAACAGAATCAAACTACAAGCAGAGGAGGGAAATGAGGCAAGAACCATAGATTGAATCTATCTTTCAGTAACTAGTAACTAGATACTTTGCACAGATCACCCTGCTACCTAAACTATTCTTTTGATATTAAGAGATTACAACTTTGGGGTGCCAATACTTTCAAAAGTTCAAAGATATCACAGACCTTCAGTTACAGTCTACTTGTTTAACAATAAAAAAGCTGTGATATACGAAATATAGCATACACTTTTGTAGTTGGATTACCTTGGTATCTCTGAATTCTGCCCTTTCCAAATGGCATTGGTAGATTCAAAGGGATGTAGTGCTCATGATTACAGACTACACGGAGAAATTCAAATTTGAATTCAAAGAGTGTCTGCAAAAATCATTTGAAAGTGTAAATACAACAGCGGATGCAATGATCTGAATAACATGCCCCAAATCACTTTCTTACACAAATGGGTGGTTTCTCTCAGTCTGTGAAAGTTCCATATGCCACCAACAAATACTTTTAGTACAGTTCATAACCAACAGCTGCATATAATTCTATTTCCTATTTTCTGTCTCCCATAGGTAGGAAGTATAGTCATTTCGCATGTTATACAATGACAAAACAAAATTCTGGAATCACACAATATATCCTTTATATATCCTAAATATATATCCTAACACATTCTATCCCCATTACTGTAAATGTATGGAAACACATGAGCTATCAAAGATCCCAACTAATGGAGACAATTATGGACTGTCATTCTTGCTTGATATTTCTATTTTGTTTTACCCCCTTCATTTTCTAAATATACATGCTAGGGAGTGGACACTCCTGAAGTCTGAAGTCTAAATATAGAACTATCATGCACAGGCATCAGAAAGAAGCAACTCTTAAAAATGGTTTGTTACAAAAAGAGTACCTTTGGATCTCCTGGGGCAAAGCAGCTGATGTAGTTATTGATTTGTTTGAAAACAAAACCTCTATCCATAAAGGTAAAACACCTCTGAGGAAAACAAACAAACAAGAAACAGTATTGATTTAATACTGTCTCAGTACATATGTGTTTATCTTTCAAAAACATTATTGATATTTCATTCAGTCTGAAGATAACCGATAAAAACAGGCATGCTACACAGATGAATACCACATTTTTCCCTTAGAGAGAAAAACACAAGCAAATCACAGACGAAAAAGCAATTTGAAGATAAATCACTCATCTTGAAATACACGTGAAATGCCCTGAGCAGCTTTATCTACTGTTTTTTTCCCCTCTTTTTTTTCTCTCCACTGTGTCTTATTCATTCAAAAAGAAAAGATGCTGAAAGCAGCCTACGTGAAAAAAAAAGTGAATAAAAACCTACTCAATGCATTAAGTTTTTGTAGTGCTGGAAGCGAACTGGAATATATATGAAAAAATAAACAAAAAGTTTGGAAAAGATATTAATTCATAAAAAAAGCCCCAACTATGAACAGATGAGTCTTTTGATACAAAAATGTAAATTCTACATCTTTACTTCAGCATAAAAGTGTACTTAAATAGCATAGTGCATGTTCTGTTTTATGCGACTTGGCCTTAAAAATCCTTAAAATACATAAAGAAACAGCTTTAATGAAAAGTGACCACAGGACCCCAGCCCTTGTGTACCTACTTTTATGAAAGCAGCGAGGCTGTGGTTTGCATTTTTGGAAGCCTCTGGATTGTCTCTGTACTTCTGGGTGATGTGAGGCATGAGCATATTAACAACTGTTTCAACTGCATGATGAAAGGAAGCGGAAAACCTCTGGTTTCGCAACAGCTAGAAGCACAAATGCAAATACACATTTAGTATGATTTGTGACAGCAAAATACAAAAGAAAACTTATTTTAGATAAGATCCAGATAACGTGAGGGAAGGAGGACACTTTTCAAACTATATGTATCTACTATATGACACTATATGTATCAATGATACTGTCACACACTTTTCTGTCATGAAAAACAAGGTTTTCTTGTTGCTTTGAAATGCATTTTTAAAAGTTCCTTTGACTTTTGCCATCATGGAAATTCTCACCCATGCATTTATCTTTCAAGAACTGCAGCTCTTGCTCATCAGTTACATCAAACCTCAGCTGTTCCAGTCTTCAGAATTACAAGAATCTTGTTCTCCAAATATGCAGGGTTTCAGGGTTTACTTTTTATCATCTGTATTACCTTTATCAATGATTTCATACATTCTGACCAATGCTGATAAGTTCTCTTCAGGCTTTTGCTGTTGTATAGCCAATTTCTTAACATTTTATAGTCTTTAGTAAATATTCTATCTTTTGTCTGAAGGAACATATTGACAGAAGGGGTAGTGCTGAGAGAAACTGGCAATGACAAAAGCTGTTTTAACTACACAGTCATATTTTTCCTTTCTGTAAAATGTCAGATATCAGACTGTTCTGGAATATTTTATTAGTAAAATGCTTTTCTAAATTAAATTGAATGCAACATACCCAGGGACAGCAAATCATTGTCAAGGTCTTGCATAAATCAATGATTACAAAATTTGATGCGTCTGAACCGTGCTCCAAACCCTCTAGTTCTATCTTAATAAAAAATCAAGATATGTAAACGTAAACTGAATTTTCCCCTTCCCGAATCTTTTGGTTCTTTTTAATGAAACACTTAAAATTATTTATAGCAATCCCAAAAAAAAAAAAATTGAAATGTTTTAGAGAAGTAATGTATTGCATGTTTTAAAATAAAAAATACTCCATCTTTCAAGTACATAAAGTTTGAGGCCATTACGTCTATCCTACTGTTTGTTACTAATGAAAAATAAAGCCAAGGACTTCTCTTATGACTTTTCTTAGGTCTGCTAGACATCAAGTGATTAGGTTCTTTTGGAATAGTAATAATGGTCACATCATCCCACCTCACGCGCCCTTCTATCATGATAACACTTATTACACCAGCTAATCAAACCTCTATCAAACACTTGTAATTGACACGATCTTCCAGTGTCCTTTTTTCCCTTGAAAGGCACATCTTGCTATATTGAATTTACTCCTCATATCCTGGTGCTCTCCAAATGCAGGAGATGCCAATTAGGGGAGAGGATGCTTAGTCATGGACGCTGGCAGAATCATTCTAAGAAGCTGTGTTTGTTTTCTGTTTGTTTACACAGGCTCTTGCTCTTTTTTTTAAAAAAAAAAA